AATGGATTACTTGAATTAAAATGTTCCCAACATTTCGTATTTACTAAAATATAATTGTTGAGATAAAAGTGGAGGGAGCTGATCGATCGTCCTTTAGAAATTCCTACGCATTCGATTCGCAAAGAGAGATTGCTGATGGAGGATGCCCAAAGATGGTGAAAAGAAATAGGACACGATATAGGCTGGGAAGGTGGGCGAGGTGGGGTGGGGGGGGGGAGGGGGTGAAGACATGGTTCGTGAGCGTACAAGCCGAAGGAGAAAATACAATACGTCAGTTTCATAATAAAACGATGAAGTAGCGATGACCAGTCTCTAGTACCATGTAGTGACACCTTACAATATTAGGCCGATGTCAGACTTTGCGAATCGCGCGATTCGCTACTAGCGATTCGCGCGATTCGCTAGCGTCCGCGGTCGCGTTGCGGTACCAGCCAATTGAGTGATTCACTGGCCGCGACGCGACCGCAGACGCTAGCGAATCGCGCGATTCGCAAAGTCTGACATCGGCCTTAGCGTCTAGTCAGGATTACAAAATAAAGCTTTCACAGTAGTTAAGTTGACAACACTGCAATCAGAGAATTTCTCCTACGAAACTAGAGTGGAATGGACTAGCCGATTCAGTGAACCATGAGATATGGTTAGTATTCGCCGGCCCTGCTAGTGTTTGTCATGAGGACCACACAATTTCGAATCTAACTAAAGCGCAGAAATGCAACCTCAAGGATGTTTACTAGGTGGCTACAATGATATCAGAAAATGGGAAAATTCACAAACAACGTTTGCAGACTTCTCACAGGACATGTCATACCGAAGGTGTGCGAATCATCTTTAGGAGTGAACGGTGAATTATTTCATCTAATATAGCTTCAGCGCCCTTGATTCGCATTTCCATACCACGAGAAGGACATATTGTAGGTCATTGTGAATAGCTCTATGTACCCCCCCCCATACGAGACCGTGGAATGGGCCTTTAGGTTCTGCAATCAAGTTGGACGGGAACAGAGGGCATCTACCCTGCTGCCAAAAGGGTAGCTTAGCATTTTCAAGAGTTACTTCTACATATCAAAATACAAATGTTAGGTTGTCCCATACATAAGTAGTGTCGCTCTTTTTTTCAAACAGAAAGCTATCCTGTATATGAAAAACTAAATCAATCAATTTTTCACAACACACCATATATTGTTCGAAATAGGATTGTCTGCTCTACAAAAAGCTGGTAGTGAATCATTGAAGATTCTTCTTTAAGGCCGATGTCAGACTTTGCGAATCATGCGATTCTCTCGTCTGCGGTCGCGTCGCGGCCAGTGAATCACTCAATTGGCTGGTACCGCAACGCGACCGCGGACGCTAGCGAATCGCGCGAATCGCAAAGTCTGACATCGTCCTAGGAAGATAAAGTTAGAGCTAGTTGTCGGTTTGGTCAATTTTTGTCGGCTGGACCTCCCATTTCGCAGGCCTAAAATTTGAAAACCCTGGAACAGAGGTGGAAGGGAACATAGCATCTTGTAGAGCAGACAATTCTCTTTCGAATGGTATATGATGTGGTGTAAAAATTTGGGAACCTGAAAGAAAATTTACTGTTTGAAAAAATGGCACTTCATTTGGGACAACCTAACAGAATAAAGAAATGTTCCCAAAGAGAAGTTGATGATCATGCGTGTTAGTGCCACCTCCACAAGAATTAGTACATTAACATAAAATACAATCATGCACTACAACAAAACGTACCAGACTTGACGACGACCTGGTGCTTTGCTGGGCAAGCTGGCGCGCACGTCGAAGTTTTTGGTTCTCGCGCATTTTTGCGAGCCGTCGCGCTCGTTGTTCCGGCTTCTCGTTCATCAGTCGTCGACGTTGATAGTCGCGTAATCGCAGTAGTCGTTCTTCTTTCGCTTGTAATTCTCGCTCATAATTGCACCTGGCTGCAGTGCTGGTCACACTGCGATGCTCCTTCTTTACGACGATCGGGTTTCTCGCATTCCTGAGCCTCTCGCTGCTGGCGATAGCGTTCTTTCATTCGTTGCAAACGGTGCTCGCGCTGTTCGCTGGTCTCAAACAACCGCTTCAGCTTCATTTTCTCTGATATCAGTTTTTTCGTACGTTCACTTCGATTTGTCTCAAAATTTAGGTTGTAAATGCGCTCCAGTCCACCACTAACACTGTCGACGATCACCCGTTCTTCGGCGTTTTTCGCTGAACTTTGCAGCAACTGAATTGTGATCACGAACGAGGTCAGTTCGTCGACCCCGAAATGCTTCTGAAGGGCCGTCAACCCGTCGAACAGGCCATCGTAGGTAAGTGTAGACACATCAAATATTGGCGGTGTTTCCGTAGCGGACCCTTCAGACGAAGAACCAGCACCATCACCGATGTCGCCACCACTACATGAAGTTAGAAGCTGATTTAATAGCGTTAAGCTGGACAGGAACGTTTCAGCGGTGGCGGTCGTGTCGGGATCCACTTCAGATATTGCCTTAATATGTTAAATGTGGTCAAATCACCAGTCGACATGACCGACATAGGGGATGATCCGCGGCTGCATTGAAACGTGGACGTACGGAGGATATCGGTAGACTTATTCGGTTGTTTATCACAGAAGGGACCACAAAGGTGACAAGCAAGCATGCAACTCGTTAACGAAAGAAGCCAAAGGTCTTGCACAGCTTTGCTGCTTTCCCTAGGCTTGAACACAGAGACAGGACTGTTAACAAACGATCAAGGAAGATTTCAATACTCGAAAAAGTCCAACGTAAGCAGCAAAACAAGTAGAGATCCGTGAATTGTCACGTCCACGTCAGTGGTCGATGATAGAATTCATGGCAGATTCGTAACGCGGACCGATGCAGAATTTTGG